TAATAGTAATAATATTAATAATAATAGTAATAATAATAATATCATTTATATAGCGCTTGTCCCCAGTCGAAAGCAAGCTCTCTGTGCTGTACACTATATTATAGTATATTACAGATCCCAGCCATCTAGGTTCTTTTGGAAGTGTTGGCGTTTTACACCCAATCGACACAACTACGATCATTGTAGGAGGCGGGCTTCCACTCGGCACGTCAGGGCCAACCTGAGCTGTGACTGGGAGATATTATAGCATCAGAACATCCCAGTAGAAAAACTCGAGAAACTGCTTATAAATGTGAGGCAGCGTGGTGGAATCAGGCTCTCGTCAATTTTTGGGTATATTGAGATATTGTTATCATCTTAAAGCTTGTTCATTCGTCTTGCTTTCAATTTAAAAAATCATCCATCCATCTTCAGTAGAAGTGGAGATATTTTGGGTTGAAGGGGGTGGGGGTCACCTGGTTTATGAGGTAAAATTAGCGAGAAAATGGCCGTCAAAGCTTGGTAAATTCTAAAGCCGGAGAGTCCATGGAAACTGTAAATTTATATTTTTGTTCCTTCAATCAACGCTTTTGGTGAAATCCTCATAGGAATGTGTTTGTAAATGGACATAAAATGTGTTGAGCCAAAAAACAAAAATTTGATAAAAATTGCTAAGCATGGACAAAACTGCTGTTTTCTTTAATTTCATTATTTTGACGAGAGCCTGATTCCACCACACTGCCTCACAAATTCGTCTCACACTGTAATCGAACTCGAGTCCTCTGCATGCGACGGGGAAGAATCTGACCGCCACACCGCAGACCCTTGTCATCCGAATTAATTTGAGACCACAGAGTCAAAACTTGAATCTTTTTGCAATGCCTTGAGTACCTGCAGAGAGTTTACACTGTAATACTACTGTAAACCCTCTCTGGTACCTGCGTGGAGACATAAGCATTTCAAGTAGGTCGGTAACCTATTGCCTGGCACCGTTTTTATCACAAGCTGTCATTGCCCACTTAACAAGGCCAGAGATATTATTGAGGTGTTCTTAATTATTTAACGTATCCAAATGGGGCTTCGGCTGGTTCCGGAGCTCAGAGAAATAAGAATGTCAATTGATAGTAAAATTTCATCAGTTGTGAAGATATTTTACAGTTGTGCACCATGTTTCCGATGTGCTAGTATCGAAAGAATAATGAACAGGAGATAACTTTCTGATAGTTCTTTTCAAAAGAGTGGTGTGCTGCTTCAGTAGTATTAATATTATTCGCAACATGGCTGACAAATCGCTTGAAAAAGCAGGACTCGATAACTACGCGTACAAAGCGGATTTCGATGATAAAAAGGATGTGTCTGAAGGTATCAACCATGTGAAGGTAAGCCCATCCTTGATTTGGACGTGAAGTGACAATAGATCGATAGGCCTACATGTAATAGATCTAAACACTTATGACGTCACTGCCTGATCGGAGTGATCCTATTTTAGCGTCGGTTAAAAAATAAAATAGAGGAAATGGGGGGGAGGGGGGGGGGATTATAATTCACGTTAAATTACACAAGTACATGGTGTCTTGAAGTACAAGACGTTTTTCAGTCTTGTAAGCAGTATGAGGAAAGAGATTCAAAATACTCGATCCCAACAATTTTTAAAAATAGTGGTTGACGACATAATACATTGGCTAGTGACGAGTGTAGATCGTTCATTTTAATACGCTCCACAAAGCATAATATTATTACCGAGTGAATGTGTGATTAGTATGCTTGTGTGTGTGTATATGTGTGTGTGTGTGTGTGGGGGGGGGGTTGTAAGTGTTTTACGGGACTCGCGACTGCATAAGGTTATATGAGCGCGCGGGACACATTAATTAAACACTTCAGTTTGGTAGGAAATTTCGAATTTTTAAAATACATTTTGGACCACCAAGGGAACTTTAATATTATGCGCAAATCACACACAAGACCTCAGAGATTTTTCGCCCTTATCCGAGAAGGCTAGGTGTTAGATCTTACCTACCATGAGACCAGGGATGTTGGTGAAAGACTGCAAGTAAAAAGGAGCCAAGGAGTAGCAGAAGAAAGGCTGAAGAAAGAGAGAGGAGCCTAGAGGAGGGGCAAAGGAGGTAAGGGGGTGAGGGCAGAAAGTGGAGACGAAAGCAGCCGACAGAACATTTTAGAAAGCAAGAAAGGAGGTGTAAGGAGACAAATTTAGAGAAGAAAATTTTCCGTGGCTATCCAGTTCGAACCCGGGACCTATTGAATGAGATGCGAATACCGTAACCTCTCGACCACGAGAGCCCCCCACCCCCCGTACACGCGCGCGCGTATGTGTATGTTGTGTGTGCGTGTAAATGTATTTGTGTGTGTGTGTATGTGTGTGTGTATGTGTGTGTGTGTGTGTGT